GAACAACCTTTAGGATGAACTGCTCAGTCATCACAGTTTGGCAAGAACGGACCTATCCTCTAGGACTTGGGTAAGAGCAGACCTGCGAAAGTACAGAGGACTACTGAAGGCAGTTTACCAAAAGTAAACTTGAGGATATAAGAGTCAAGATTATACACTGGGTCATTACTGCCTGTAAAACAGACACTACACTCAAGACTTCATTTGAGAGGATCTCAGGGACAATTCCACCGAACAAGATTGCAAGCAAAGCTTAAGCTAAGGTACTACACTGGTCAATATCAACTGCATCCCACCTGCCTCAGACTCACCTAAAAAGCTCCCCAAATTTACTTTTGAGGTGACTGCAGGAGGTATACAGGTCGTAGAGATAGGCCAGGATACAGCGCTCTGCTGAGGAGCCATCCAAAAAACATGTTTCACCACCCCACACAGACTGTATAGAGACAAAAAAATGCTGCAGCAACATGAAAAGGAAATCTGAAGGAATAAGCTCATTACATAGATCTCTTCCTGAGCTTACAGCAACAGCGCTCTCTGGGTAATACATCCCGTCCCCTGCAAATTCTGCAATCTGAACCCTCAGGCACAAAGTTGCTGCCTTTTAGGAAGGACACAAAAATATCCCTTACAAGCCCCAAGAAGATACGTTGCTTCCTTCCACACAGTGAAGGGAAGATTCCCTTACCCTTCGAAGACCTGAGCCATCTGGTCCTGGTTCAATATGAGGCAGGAGTGGTAGTGCCGCAGCACAGCCACGATGCACAGGCACAAACTGGTGGTGTAGCTGCCAACAAGGTCGGAGGATTTCAACAGCAGTTCTGCCTCCACCACACTCAGTTCATTCAGCAACTGCACTCAATGACAGAAAAACCCTTCAACAGCCATGGGGGTAAGGTATGGTCAGAAGTGGAGCAGGCACACCACACTCACAGCCTACAGGACCTGCCAGCAAAGCAACTGGCAGGCACTTTCTGCCTAGAAATGTACCCCTAGAACAGCTGGCACCCCATACTTATGCACGATGTCTCACTCAGGCAGGGGCTGTCAGTGCTTGGGTATCAGAGGGTAATTGGGTATGACCATAGACAGTAGCAGGCAGCTTTTTTGGTAATTCTGTCCTGCATAAATCTCACTCGGCTTCCTTTTTAAGGCTAACAGGCGCAATTCCATCAGCAACCATAGCAAGGCTTCAAGAGACACCCAGCACAGGCTGCAGAAACAGCAACAGGATTTTATCAGGATCCAGAAGGCAGCCTGTGCTGACATGTGCCAAGGATCCTTCCAGAGGAGTGAGGTGGGAGAGCTGCCAGAGACAGATGATCCCCTTCTCACTCAGAACAAGGCCTTGCTGCAGCCAGGAACAGAGATGCAATGTAAGTCCTCCGGAGACACCCTGAAGCCTCTGGAAGAATAATCCTCAGAACAGAACATGTAAGACTACCTGCCACAAACAACCTATTCCTAACAGCTGCAGGCCAGGAGCACCACAATGACCACCTAATCTGACCACTTTCATGACACAGGTCAGTGGGTCACCGATGATCCCAGGAACAGCCCAACTATTGCAGCACAGATCTTCTGCCTTTCAGGCTGATGAGCCCCTCCCCAGGAAGTGTTTGAGCACTGTGCTTACCTGGATGGCAAAGTCAATAAGACCACTGATATTGAGTGAATACTCCATCAAGTCAAATATGAACTGCACGTGCTGTACCAAAGGCAAGTGGTACGACATTCCCAAGGCAAAGCTGGTGATCTGTTCCAAGACATTGCGAGATACCTGCGAGTGCAAGACGACACACAGTACTAGCTGCCCTTCCCGAAGTCCCTCAGCAGGCCCACCTCCCTTTCCCTCCAGGAAGCTGCTCTCAGTAATGCAAAGGGACACAGTCAGGGTCCCAAGAACAGCAGCAGTCTTGGAAGTTTCATACCTGAGATGTGACTTGGTGCTGATCAAAATGAGAAAGGTGCTGGAACTTTGCAAAGATATCTTCAGCTGTTGGGAACGCTTCCGGCTTGCTCTTTTTCCTCTTCTGGCCTTCCTCTCCACCTACCAAAGTTGGGAGGAACACAAAACAGTATTAGGCTACCTTCCTCATCAGAGGAGGACTAGACATCAGCCATCAGCACCTTCCAGTCCCTCAGCATGACCAGCCCCTGCTATGCAGCATAGCCAAAAAGCCTGAGTCCCAGACCTTAAGCTCACAGGGACCATCTCAAATTCAAAACAATAAACTGCTGAGGAAGGAATTCCTAACCTGAGAACGACAGTAGGGTTAACATCTAGTTTATCCCAAGGGAAGGTACTCCTTGGAGGGGGAAAATACTTTCTCTCTTGGTTTAGAGGTACACTGATTCCCTGATGAGAAACAGATGTTCCGGATTGGAGACATTCAGCCTCAAAATTTCTTCGTCAGAGCACCCCATCTTTTAATGAATCATCTTTCTATCACATTTAAAGTTGCCTTTCAGGAATCAGACTAAGAGAAAAAAAATTGTAGCCAGATTCTCAGCTGATGGAAGTCAGAGGCTTTCTGTTGATTTTGACACAGCTGTCCAAATTTCCCATCCTATGCATTAAGCATGTGCCACAAGCATAATGGCATGCTACATTTAATCAAGGTCTTGGCCAAATACACGTAAGCAAAGTCCTCTTTGCTTCTTGTGCAAGGATCTAAATGCAAGAACTAAAGAAAATAAAATTTGAAAAGCCAAAGTTTTGGCCAGGGTCTCACTCTGAACCTGATATGACTTAATCCTCTTCTAAAGAAAAGTTCAGTTAAACAGATACTGCCAGCAGGAAACGAATCATGTTACTTGCTGGTTAGTATATTCAGGAACAGAGCACCATTCCACAGAGCTTACCAGGCACTGCAGATTATATAAAATCCTCTCACTGTGAGACTCCAGACAAAGGAGCCAGCCAACTGGAAAGTCACTCCTAATTCAGAAAGGAGTGGCTCAAGCTTTACTAACCAGTCTCTGCAGTGCTCTTTCTGTTTAAGACTTTTAGAATGTCTTTGGTTATTTTCTTGATCGTATGCCGAGCATCGTCCCGTTGTTTTCCAACCCCAAAAAGAACTACCAATCGTTGGTTACACTCGTGACTGCATGACTCCTCCTAGGGAACCAAAAGAGACCACTGCATTAGCAACTATGAGGCCGAATGCTTTAATCTTGCTTCACATCTGGATCTCTTAAAGGTAAAGGAAAGCTTCATCTCAGAAGCTGCTCTGGGAGAGAAAGGTAACATCTTAAGTAGACCACCTCCTGCAGCAGTACGGGAAAGCACAACTGCTCCTTACCCACCCACAGCAGTACCACAGGGAAATACAGCGGCCTCATGACCAGAGCACAAGGCAGCAACAGGGGAGCGGTTATGAGCAGATCTCATACCTGAGGAATAGGAAAGTGTGTTGCATACTGGATGTGCCGAGGCTGGTCATACAGGGATGCTAGCATTCCTTCCACAGACTTATCCTTCAGCAGAGGCTTTGCTTCCTTTTCAGGATCCGGTTTCTCAGGGGAAGGGCTGGCTTTAGATTCGCAATGCATCGGAGGAGAAAACATCTAGGGAGACATAAGAACAAGAAAAGGTAGTTAGGGAACATGGTCATGCAACAGTGAAGACTGCTGAAGGTAGGTACATCCGCTCAGGCCTAAAAAGAATCAGGAAGAGGGAGCGTTGGAGTAACATCCAGATCTCAGGGCAACGACCAAGCGAATGTGCTAAGACACTATTCCCATTTTTGCTTCTAGTCCATGCTGCGTACTGAGTTAAAATCAATAGGAAATAAATAACCATGACTTAGAATTTTGGGAAGAACCACCTCCATGAACAAGCAAGGATCCTGGGAAAGCCGTGGGAAAGCCACATAGCTCTGCACATCACACTTGCCTAACATGTACCTTGAAAGGTCTGAAGTGGCTGAAGGAACATATGTACTCAAGGATTTTTCAACCACCACAAATTATTTTTATTACTGCTTCAAAGCGTTCTGCAACCATGAACTATGCCCGCAAAAATCATGAAGAACTGTAAAACTGAAGTCCCGAAGGCCACAAAGTACAATGACAGCAGACCTGTGTCTTCTCCCAGATGATCAAGAAAACTGCTGCCAACAGTAACAAGTCACTCCCAGTCTCCTGATGCTATCATGGTCATCCGTTTCCCATCCACCTCCAAGCAGCCCACTTCCTGCCCTGCCCAAACACCAGGCTGGCATCAGTCAGAGTGTAAGAGATCCCAGGAATCACCAGGACTCACCCTACTCTGATGGATCCCGACCTGCATAAACAGGTTATATCGACCTTTTTACAGTGTCAGCTGCCTTACAACACAGCCACTTCCAGCATACTGGTGCTAGAGTAGAGAGAGAGTACTCACACAAAAGTGAGGCATGTGCTGTCCCAGGTCCCACTACAACATACTGACCTGCTTACTGAGTAGCACATAGAAAATGCAGGAACATACCGAAAAGTCTGTCTTCTCCATGTCATCGAAGAGCATACTGGAGTTATGGTCGATGTCCATGGGCTCAGAGAGACCTGTGTCCTGGGAATAGACAGAGCAGCTTTACATCTCAGTGATGCACCAGGGAACAAGAGTATTTGTTTACTACATGGACACTCAATGTCCATGTTGGACAGTGACAGCAATACACCCATGGTGCCTGGCAAGTTGGAGCCTAATACATTGCAATCATCATGGACAGGCCTCAACAGCACCTCATGGTACACTGCTCTGCTCTGAGCAGCGCAAAATTTTCCTATCTACCCCTTTACATTCTGCAGGCCCTTTCCAGCCACTTTGAACATAGCCTTCTACTTTTGAAACTGAAATGCTAAGGAAATAGGTTGGAGGAGGGAGAAGCCTGAGTCACTGGTACATCCTCCAGCAGGTAATACAAAGAGGCTGCAAAGCTGGTAAAAATGGACAAACACAACACAGAGACACGTACAGGAGGGACATGGCGCTTGCGCCCTCACCTCTAGCTTGATGCCACTGTTTCCCTCTGTCTCCTTCCTGTCGTGCTCCTCAGCAGGGTCATCGAAGGGTGAGGGTGGGCGAGGCCCATGAGAATCCATGGCAAGATCACCCCGGGAGATGAGTGTGCACATGTAGATGTTGTGAGAGAAGACATCATGTCGGATTAACTCACAGAACAGCAGCACCAGGTTAAAGAACTCCACCTTCTCATTTTCCTTCCCAGGATCAGCTGAAAGGACAGCACACACAGTCACGGCTATCAGAATTCTGTAACATTCTGAGCAACTCCAGCCACCTAAGCTAGGGCTAGAGAAAGTGTTCCCAGAGATCTCAACATAGTAAGTGACAGTTCTGAGATTATAGCAGGGACTAAAAGCAGAAAGCCCAGTTTCAACAGGCGTCAACTAAGTCAAAAGCTCTCCAGTTAGTATCACAGACCAAAGGCATTGGGCTTTAGCCTGGAAGTGCTATTCCTGAGTTTACAGTTTCCTGCATCACCCAGAGCTGTAGCCTGTCCCCCTTAATCTGTCTGCAGTACTTCCACTGAGAGACTATTCCAGAGCTTTGTCACTTACTAGTTAGAAACCTCCCTCTAGTTCTCAGCCTGAATTAATTCCCAATTAGGCTATACTCATTTATTCGTGGCCAATGCTCTGTTAACAGAAGCGCTTCTGCATTATCTTTCTGTCATCCGGCCCTCCAGGCTGCTTTCCCTCCCCCTCCAAGGTATGCTCTGGATCACAAGGAAGCCAGAGAGAGAATTTAGGTACATCCAAGACCTACACACAAGAGAATAGCACACAAATTCAAAGTTTGCAGGAGAGGGAAAGCTAGAAACTGGGAGAGCAAAATCTTTTATTCCATACTTAGCATAGGAGCTTGAGTGTCAAGGAACTGCATAAGGACATCCTGAAAGATAGGAGCACTGGCTGCTGAGAGAGAGCCTGAGGAGATGGAACCCTTCTCATCCACGACTTCAGAGTCCCCACATCTCTACAGAAACAGAAAAAAGTACCAACTCACTATCCATAAACCCCAAAAAAGAAGTCTTTGAGAGAATTTTCTTATCTTGCACTTATGGAAAGCCACCACACAGGTTTCTGTAAGCTACTTCATAGTCTCCAAGCATGCCAGTTCTTTTGCACTGCAATCACCCGTTTTCAAACGTATGCAAGCAATGGGATACACACCATCCCACAGGCTCACTTACGACCTACTTCGGGTTAGATGGAGCAAATGCCATAATTAACAGCATCAGTGTTAAGAGGCATTGTACTGATCAGTCTTTGCCTTTCAGTGTAATAGTCAGTAAACCACAGTTAGGCAACCTCTGCTCTCCTTTACCACTCCTAGCCTTCCAGGAATAAGGCCGTACCTCAGCCTCTATCTCTGCTTGACGCTTCTCCAGGAGTTTGGCCACAACCATAGCTCTGTGGCGTCCAGAGCGTTTATAGCTGACAGCCCACTCACACAGCAAGGCCACCACCGCATCGTCGTCTGGGGAGATCTGTTGAGATAAGCACTACAGTGAGAACCTGAACCAAACAGAAGAGCTGAGCAGTCCTAAGGCCTCAGGTTGGGTATAACAGTGAGTATACTTCTAGTAGCGCACAGCCTGTGGACTGCTACATTCCCCTCTTCCTAACATGGAGGACAGATGTCAAGCTAGAGCCCTCCCGTTTTGTCTCTGCTTTGACTCCACCTTGCAATATGAGGTGATCCATAGCCTTTGACAAATCTCCAGGCTGGCTTTGCTTCAGAAAAATATCTCTCTTCCAGCAGCACATCTACGGACTGCTAATCTTAGCACAGAGTGAAAGACAGCCTCTCGACAGCATTATACAAAGTATGCAAACCACCAGTCCTGCAGCTCACTTCCAGGAACCAATGCAGTATTGCTTGCACTGTGGTCCTACACATCATAAATATGTCACCTCCCAGGCTAAGAGGAACTTGAACTGTGAGCTCCCAGACTCCCAGGAAGCAGCTGCCAGCCCAGAATTTGACAAAACTAGCATTTACTTCTCTCATACACATAAAATGTCTTTATCATCAATCTGCTATCCAAACTCCTATCTTCCATCAGGACACTCTCCTCAGTTAGCTGTGTGGAGTCTTTCAAGCTTATACACATTTGATCGTGTAGACTTTCCAGAGCACAGACCTTCCATTCTCACTTTAGTACCTCCCTAACTTAAGGCTGCACGAAATCCTTTTCAACGGAGATCGCATCTCTTGGCTAAAGGCCACTACCTAGTCAGCTCTCTGCAGACACAGAACAGTAACTGTGGAATATAAACAAGAATATAGCCATGTCCAAGACCAGGGCCCAGCAGCAATGTCTCAAGGCACCTCATGACTGTCTTTGGTTGGACCCAGCCCAAATATCCTGTTATACAAGGAATCCAAAGAGTTGCTGAAGTCAGATCTTTCAAAGCTGTGACTGTCCAGAACTTCTAAAGTGTGCAAGACACGGCCAATAGTGAAACCTAGAAGAGAACAGAAAAAAGAAATGTGTATCTGGAAACTGGCACAACTGACTCTGGAGGAAAAGTTTCTGTGAGCTCATTGCTCAGGAAGGCTGCCTAAGGAAAGCTGTACCAGTCAGGCAAGGGTCCACCTAGCTTTGTATCCTTGACTCTCACAGCAGCTAACAGCAGACGTTAGGGGAAAGCACCAGAACATGGTACATATACAAGAGCATAGTTCTCTGGTACACATTTCCAGCTTCCAGTAACAGAAACTCCCCCTATAACTGGAGAAACAGACCCATGCAAGATTTTGCACTAGAAAGAAAGAGAACCATTTGGGTTTTCTTCACTGCTGACCGTAAACACCATGGAGCAAATAAGAAAAAAATCAAAGAAAATAGCCAGACAGGAAGTTTCTCAGAGTAACACATAGAACAGGGGGAGAAAAACTTTACCCTACAGCAAGTTACCTGCTGTGGTTTCCTGGCACTTGTCAAATGACCAGCGAACCTCCACAGCCTGACCACGTTCCTTTATCTGCTGCTCAATTTCACGCAGCTTTGCCCGAACCTAAAAGCAATGGACTTATGTAAATATATAAAAGGATGCCTTAGAAGTCCTGTGTACAAAATTATCAGAAAACAAAGAGCATGACAGTAATTCTACTCAAGGTTAAATTTTGCCCATCTTCCAAGGATATCACTGTCTTGCTTATTGCAGAATGGGAGCAGTTAATTCCTTGGGAGTGAGAGAGCACCTCCATCTCTGCTTATCACACAACACGAAAATAAAATCCTTAAAGAGCTAAGATACAGCTATTATCCTTGACCACAAGAGCTCCCTTTCTTCGAAGGCTGCTCACCTGCTGTGTAAAGGCTGAATTCCCTCCTGGCATGGGCAAGTTGGATGGGGCTATAGGCAGGTGGTCTAGTGGAGAGCCGGTCTTTATCCTGCTGTCAGTCAATGAGTAATGCCACACAAGGGCACTCGGGCAACACAAAATTATACTCTGCCACAGACAGAAAAGTCAGTATCATTGAGCAAAGCAAGGTCAAAACAATTAAGTTAGATCACTTTCTACAGAAATAACCACTCCTTTGTCCTACTGCACAGGCACTCCTCCTGTATACACATTTATGTAAATACATATATACATATTTACTACATGGGGGTTTTTTTGTTCTAAGCTCTGAAAGAGTCTTTGAGCTAAAGACCATACTAGAGTAGAAAGGAGTAAACTAGTATTTTTGCTGCACTGAGTTTCTTGCCCTAGGTATGCTTAGGAAGCCGACACCAGAGTTCCACATTATCCAAAATCAGCAACATGTTGCTGCAGAGCTCCCTGCTGCTTCTAAAAAGAACTTATTTTCTACAACTCTCACTGTCAATGCACAATCCACCCCTTGTGGTCCAGGAGCAGCATTTACATTAGTGACTTACAGCCCTCATCAACTGTAAAGTGTGAGAAGAAACATCAATCAACAGACTCAAACTCTTATGCTTATATTGTATTATTTAATAATAAGAAGAATGATTATAGTAATGATTATAATAATGATTATAATAACAATACTAATATATATACATTTTGATGATTTTATGATCTTGTGCAGACACCCACATGAACAAAACTTAACTGAATGATCCTAGGATACACGCTGCAGCTCCTGGCTCAGAAGGAGCCAGACATTAAGATGGACAAAGGCGTCTGTTTTAAACACTCAAACCAAAGAACCCATCATATCTCAAGAACATTTGTGCAAAGGTTAATTATGTACACTGTTAAAAATGCTTTTATTACCAGCATGACTTTACCCAGCTCCAACTTCCAACCACTAGATCTTATTCTGCCTTAGCCTTATCTACTCTCTGCAGATCAGAAGATCTGTAGATTTTATATCAGAAGAATCCTGAGACATACTAAAAAAGATCAGATGATCATTAATTCATTTGAACTTTTTAAGCAGGTTGTGTTCAAATCCCAAATCAGCCAAATCTTTGAGGCGTTCATGTATTTTCCCTAAAGTAAACTCCCCAAACAAAGGATTTTATATTTAAAAAGGCATGTTTTATCACACAGAAACTGGAAAAAAAAAAAAAAACCTAAACTTTTTTAACTGCAAGTGACATAGAAAGACTTAATAAGAATACAATGGGGTTATTTACAACTGCCACACTGCTCTTTACCCCTTGTGAACAGATCCTTACTCCTAGTCAACCATACTCTAGGAATTTTCTTTCTACCCTGAGAGCTGGCTGGCTGCTTCTTGATCCTGTCAGGGCTCATTGAGCTGCAGGTTCCCAAGCTCTGTCCTCTCTTCCTCTCCACCTCCTGCTCCATTCTGCATTCTCTGGAATATCCTGTGCTTTCCTCTCCTGGAAGGGACAATCTCCACTCCTGCAGGGACCTACCTGACCTAGTCACTGTCCTCTTGAAGGAGAAAAACACAACCATGAACACACACTGAACGGAACTCACCTGTCTCCCTCTGACACAAGGCCAGCATGGACCGAGTCCTACAGTGACACAACAGCATTTACCCTTGAAACACCTATCAGTAACGCTTCAGCAACCTTGCCCTTTTACCACAAAGTAAGGTTTAACCAATTTCAAGTATAAAGATTATGAGTTTAAAGTCATTCATTTTCATAGCTTGCTGCCACTCCTGAGGAGAGCGGTTGCCTAAACCATTAAAATCCTTCCATAAAGAAGTGGGAGGGGTTGGGTTTTGTGTGCACTGGTTGTTTGGTTTGTCAGGTTTTTTTGTTTCTGTGGGTATGGGTTTTTCTGATGAAGCGTTTGTTTTTAAGAGCTCACAAAATTACAAACCACTCTTTCATTTCTCACATAATTTCCTTTCCTAAATGACAATCTGTTACTGATGTACACAAGATGAAATAACCCTCTTTCTCTGCAAAGCTTTTGCAGCCATCTGAAGCACCTGTGAACAGAGCAAAAGGCTCTATTCCAACCAATTTTTTTAATGCAAGTCAGTCAAGGGCACTGCTATAGCACTGACGTCTGGTACAAAAGCCCTGTAACACATCAGCAAAAACCTACCCTTTGACAATCATATTTTGACGGTCATTTTGATATTTTCATTTTTCAGAATATGGCATTTTGATATTTCTGTACTTGGGAAGTTGCTAACTCAGACTATAATGATTTTTCTGTGACGGCATACAGTATAAACTGCCCCTGTTGACCCCACTACTCAAACCTACCTGGAGGATGCAGCTGAGCCCATACACCACTGGCCGGTGCTGGGGGCACAGCAGTAAGTCGCTGAAAGGGCTGGGAGGAGGATTCCCTGCAGCTGGCTGAGGGGTGGGAGTTGAAGGAAGAGCATTCCCTGTCTGAGTAGACAGGATGTGGGGTGGGTGCCCACCAGCACCATCCAGCTGCATAGTGAGCCTGCGGGTGCAGAAGTAGGCCAGACGTCTGGACAAGTACGCTGACTGCACAAACTCTCCAGAGTACTGTAGGGAAGAGGGAGGGAGGGGGGAAAAACGTCCTCATTACAAGCAACACAAAAGAAACCCTTGACCCTCCCAAAGTAGTATGCTGCGCGGCATTGCCTTGTAGAGACAGTTCCTTTTTACAGAGGGCTCCTTCGCATCATCTATCACCCACTAGCTACTAAGCATCAGAAAAACCCTTTAAATGCTCTGTGGCAGTGACTTCATGTATCAAAATGCACCCACACCCAGACTTCCCAGGGCTTCAAAGGTCTGCCTTCAACCTGTTGCTACAGAAAGAAAGAAAAGTAGTTTCCATGTAGTGGTGCAAAATGAGTCCAACTATCACAGCTACGACGTTGGTTGAGATTACCAACTCCAGTGCAGGGAAACATGGTAAAGGAAAAAGAAACAGAAGAGAGCAGGACTAAAAAGGTATCCTTGCATGAGCTAAGAAGGATACTCAGAGGGACATTCTTGAGTGTTCTCGGTGCAAAATAGCTCATCATCCCTTAGGCAATAGGAAGGGGACTGACAACAGCCAAAGTCAGCACTCTCCCGAAGAAAGACGGGTACATAATTCTCACCCGCAGTAGCAGGGGTAGGAGCATTTTCAGAAATTCATCTTCTCCTGACCGTATCTTCTCAAAACACTCAAGGACCCACGTCAGGAACTCATGCCGGTCCAGCATGCCATCCTGCACACAGATAAAGGCAGAGCGAATGGACAGAAGCTGAAGCAACATCCACTAAGGAAAGGCAGAGCAGCTGCCTGCTTTCTAACAGTGGAAATAACTCTAGAAGTTTGCACAGTTCTGTACCACCCCTGTTCTACTACGGAGCTCAAAACTGCATCTAGCCCTAACAGTCTATTCACAAAAAGCAAGTATTCTGCAAAAGTGAATCACTTTGCATACACTTCCCCCAGCCCTCCTCTGCTACGCACCCAGCCAGCAGCCCCCTCCAGTCCCTCACCTGGAACATGAACATAGCTAGTTTCTCATTGTAGTCCCACTGCTTCAAAGCTTGTTCCACCTCTTGGGGCATTGGCCCAGACGGTGAACCACAGCCTTGCCCTGGGAGCTGTCTATAGAACTCCGCAATTTTCTGCAGCTGCTCTGACAGGTACTTGGTGATGATCTGCGTCCATTCTGGAGAAAAGGAAACAGGTTAGCGACAAGTGCAGTAGTAAACAGAAGCAGGAAAGAACAAGGCTGGTGCGCAGGTGGAAACACAAAAAAGTTCCTGTCATTTGAAAAGGACAGAAAGACAAAGAAAGAAAAGTAAATGCCACAGTATCAGCTTTGCCTGTGGCCTAGGGGTGGCAGGAAGGAAGAGGCATCCACAGAAATAGGGAACACAAGGAAAAACTTCTGTACTTGGGGGCAGTGTTACTTTGTACAAGACAAGCTGGGAAAGATTCCTCAACTGCAGTTGTTTAGAATCAGCAGGTGGAGGAAAGAGGCTTTCCAGCGGGAAGCAGCGTTAGACCAGCCTGGTTCAACATCCTTAATAATCTGGCAGACAGCAAAAGCATTGGAAACATTTCAACTCTGAACTTGTTCTTAATTTCTTTCAGTATCAGAGTAAAGCTGTGATCAAGGAATTATTAAAACAATTGTTTTTACTAGAACCTAACTGTATAGGAGACAAACTCAATACACAAAGTGACAGCTCAATTACACTCCTCTGGGACAATGCAGATGGCAAAACATGCAAAAATGTGAAACAAACAACACTTACAGGGTCAGCAGCAGGACAAACACAAAGGAAGAGGCAAGTAAACAGAATAAATATATCTAACAAACCAATCAACCTCCAGAAACAGAGCTAAGAAGCCTGTGTAATTTTTTAAATTTTATTTAATTTTTTTTTTTTTTTTTTACACCAAAGATAAACAAGAAAAAAAAAAATCCATGTACTTCTGCTGCTAATGCTGCTTTTCAAAGGAATGTGGTCAGGTCCTGTAGTCACAGCCATACAAACCAGAAAACAGTCAGGGGAGCTCTCCTAGACTGCAGCAATCTGGAGCAGGCCACAACGAAAAGGATGCTAGATATGGGATCCAGTAAGGCTTAATGAAATTGGAAACGTAAACAGGAAGTAACATACCAGAATTCTCTGGAAAATGTACTCACCCACTTGAGAAGAAGCTAATCAGTCATTGCTAAACTATACAGTCTTGGTAGTGTAAGAAAAAAACCCCACAGCAGAGGAGCACACGTAGAACTTAACACAGAGAAAGAAGAGGTTAAGCTCTCAGGAAGTATTTGTGGCTGCTAAGACTTGTTTTTCAACAGTGTACCCTCACAGGTGGGCCCTGTTGTTTTAGACAGTTATGCACATCAGAACGGTAGGACTTATCGGCAGGAAACAAGTTTATAGGAATTTCCAGGCTACCTCTTACTGCTCATGAGCAGGCTGAGAAGGAAACATCTGGGATGGACAAAACCAGTGCTCCACACAAAGTGCTTACCAATGAAAGGATCAATGACATGACGCTTTTTCACCTTTGTTTCCGTGATGGCAGCATAATAGGCACAAGTCATTTTGATAAGCCAGGCTGCTCTCATTACTGGAACAGTGTATTTCGCCAAATAACCAAAGACCTCTTCCTTCTTGCTAAAGATGGGCACCTGCAGCAGAATTGAGAGGGAGAACTGCAACCAAGGACTTAGACAGGAACAATTCCAAAGTAACTGCACATGCTGTAGGTGCTGCAAGTTGTGAAAAAGGTAAAAAGCTAAAAGGTACTGCGCTGCTCTGCACCTCAAAAACCCTACTGCAAGAATTCACCTCTGGTCAGAAAGCAACAGTACCAGACCTGCATTTCATTATAAACAGAAACAAAACAAACTGAAAGACAGAAAACGTAATTATATCACTGTAAATCCACACCCTGAATCCTTCAAACAGCTTTGAGAATACAAACAACCACAAAAGGTACTGACTAAGGACTGAGTCAGAAACACAGAGTACCTACTATACAGACTGAAGATAGGACTCTTGATTCTGTAAACAAAACAGAGTGGTTACAAAAGTCTTGTAATATCATGAATAGCCAACAGAAGACTGTGAAAAACAGGGAACTGAATACCATAGTAGAAAGGAATTCATTAATCCAAGACTAAAAATTCAAGATACAACATGGAAGGATACCAGTGAAACCATCAGACTGCAGATCTATAAACCAGGAAGCAGTAACACATTACAGGTAAAAGTACAGCTGTGGGGTTCATTTCCACAGGATACTACAGAGAGCAAAAGTACGCGTGTGTTCACAGAGGAACGAGACAAATTCACAGAGGACAGGTCCATTTGGCAGGTATCTCAAAGTTCCTGGACTATCAACAGTTCAATCGCTTACTTGCTATGTTCCTTACATTCTTCACAATTATTCTCTAATGCTCCAAAGACACAGAGACTACTTGGCTACTGACAGTCACTGCTTTCATGTCTAAGTCCATGAAAACTGACAGAGACCATTGCAGGAAACTGGAGAAGCCCCTGAACGGTTCAAGCTTTCACAATGACCTCAGGAAACTGACAGCCAACATGCAAAGAAGGACACAAGGACTAAGTTCACAAAGAGACAGACTCTGGGAAAATCCGATTACTTTATTTTCCTCCAAGAGTGACTCAAAACACCAAGGACCAGACAAACTCCAGCTTTGAAACTACATGCTCTGCTACCGTTTCGCAACTGGGAGATACGTTTTTCCACAATGAACACTAGATTCCTGAGTTCCTTGTTTATAGGTCCACCCTGACAGAGAGTTAGCTCCCCTTGCTATTGGGCCCAATGAAATGGCAGAGCAAACCCCTTCTTTCTTCTTTCATACTGTACAGAATTCAATACTATGTAGCCCTGGACACCATGGCACTCTAGCCTTGCAGAGACCAAGTTATAATACACACACTCTTCTCAGCTTAAAATCAGAAACACGTGTCACTTCAACAGAAGTCTGGGAAGTCAGCTGATTATTTCCAGTAATTCTCACTATGACTTTTGAGAAGTTGAAAAACCATCCACAATAGGAACAGTCCTAATCTAAACAACAGACCAAAGGCAATAGGGGCAGCTCTTCTGAAAAACATCTGAACCTTAACATAAATCAGTCATATCATACAAGCTGAAAGGCAAAGCTGAACACAACCTCCAAAGAACAGACAAGAGACCGGTTCTTTTGAGTGGGGATGACTATAGTCAGCGCACTATAAAGCCTGGATACGCTTTTCAAGCTGAAGCCTTCAAGAGACATAAAGAAGAAACTTCTCCAAATAGTAAAAACCTTCTACTATACAAACCCTTCAGAAACAAGCATAGATCAAATGCTCTGCCCTGCCAGGCAGCCTCTCATGTAACATACCTTCTTAGCAAGATGAGTGAGGGGCTTAGTTCCAGCCAGATCTGTGAACCAGTTGTTTATGGCACTCTGAGAACGTGCTGTCACCAGCCAAAAGTTATCCTTCTGATTCACCTGGGGTTTCCGTCTTCCTGTGTCAGGCAGTGTATTGCACCGCAGCTTTTCTGCAATAATACTGCTAAAATTTGAACTGATCTGGAAAAAAAGAAGAAAAGGACAAGTTCCATTTCACAAGTCAAAGATCTATTCTATCTGCTTAAAGTCTCATTTATCATTCCTACCAGAAGTCTCACCAGTATCAACTTTTGAAACCAAACCTGCCCTTGTTATACTTGCAAAGAGGAATGCTTCCAGACAACTCATACAATAACCAAGCAGGGACTCAAGCTGAGACGGACACAACTCTCTATAAATACTCGTCAAACCAGACAGAAGGCTTCTCAGACAAACGTCAGCCAAGGGGAAAAAAAAAAAAAATGTACCGTGCTTATTGATTGCCTTCCATCCCATATCATTACTAGTCATCTTGTCAGGGAGGACAGGAAGTTAACGTCTTGATTTTAAAGACTGGAAAAATTGAGTTAAAGCGTATTGTATAACTCCCATGTTTAAATTGCCAGATGTTCCAAGGAATCTTACTTCTGTCCTACTATGGCCATAACGTAACCAAACAAATAAGAAGAAGTTTCCAAGTTCTGGTATCCTAGTCTTCTGCTTTAATTGCAGAATATAAGGAATTCTAGATGTTGGTTTAACAGAGACTGCAGATAAAAACCTGCCCATAAGACATACAGAGCAAGACAAGAACCTGCTTTCTTAGAGGTGGGACACGGTTCCAAAAGAATGCAGAACTTCAATTCTACCAGGGCAGAGGATTAGGTCCTAAAACACCCATCCTAAAGGGAAGGGTCACCTGACTCTGGACACAGGGAAGGACTACAACCCAGGACAGTACAGAACCAAGCAGCCTGCCCGTACAGGCACTAGTCCCTGCCAAATCTCCCCCCTCCCCCGCCAGTCCCAACGGCTCTCACCTTCGCTGGGTTGAAATTAACATTTTTGGCACTGCCGTGCTCGTCCCCAGAGACTGCCGGCTGGTTATTGAAGCCTTGCTTGACGTTCAGAGCGGTCAGCTCATCCTGCAGTGGAAGGACGATCAGCAGGGACCGGCAAAGCCCCTCCCCACGCCAAACACCCGCAGCCTCCGTCCCCACCACGGCGGCTCAGTCAGCGCTGGGACGGAGCAAAGCGAGGGCCCAGCGGGTCCCGGCCTCCCCCAGCCCCACGCTGCAAGGCAGCACCCCAGGCGAGTGCTAACACACAGGAACCACGGCACGCTCGGCCAGGCCCCGCACCCACAACCCGGAGGCCCGGCGAGACGGAGCCCTCACGCCCAGACACCATGGGGACGCAGGGCTCCCTGCCTCCACCCCGGGAACTCCCAGCGCACCCCCGGGGCCTCCTCATAGCCAGCCCCGGTACGGCGGACCCGCACCCCATGTGTCCCCGCACCTCCTTCTGCTTGGGGTCCT